CTCCCGGCGCGCCCGCCCCTTCGCCCTGCGCTCCGCTCGGGCCGCCTCCAGAAGAGGGGAGCTGGAGATGGCCACCGCCGGCACGACTGGTGCGACCCTGTGGGTCAAGGGCCCCTCCGCAGTGGGGCGGGTGCTAGCCATCGTCGCTCCTAAAACGTCCTGGCGCTGGGCGGGAACACGCGTTTTCGTTACCAGGTGACGGGGCTGGAGGACCGCCCAGAGGTCGGCAGGGAGAGCGGTGGGGCCTTGGGAGAGAGCAGTGGAGAGGAGGGAAGGAGGGAGGAAGAGAGAGATCGTGTCTTCTCAGCTCTCTCCCCCAGAAGCATTTATCAGAAGACGGTTGTCCAAATGCAGGGAGATCGAGCCTCTGTGCATCCACGGCGGTGCTCCCTTCCCTGGGGTTCCTGCGCCTCTGCCCTTGGTTATCCGCAGTTTTCATCACGCGGGCAGCTCCCTAGAGGCAAACCTGGTCCCTCCAAAGATGACAAAAAGGAGAAGTTCCTCTGTGGGGAGAGAACGCAGACCCTCTTGGCCCCTGGCTGCTGTGGAAATCACCCACAGCTTGCCTTGGTCCCCTCCGCTTTTAGGGGACACTCCTTCCCCTTGGCCTCAGGCCCACGCCTGGACTCATGGCTGGGAGCAAGCTGGACTCTTGGTAAGCCTTTAGGAATACTTGGGTGTTCATTTAGGGCAGTAGACGAAGAGGGGACACACAATCAGATGGTCTGACTTACAAGATACGGCTGACTTCATTCCAGTTTGTGATGGCTCTTGTTCCCACACTCACAGAAGCTACGGGTGGAGATTGACCCACGGATGGACATGTCCCTACCGTTGTGGAGCTCTCAGCCTAGTAGGGCGTAGTGACAAATATCAGTAGAGTTTATTGTGGTAAGTGCTTCCTACTCCAAGTACTTTACCTGGTTAACTCACTCAGTCCTCATAACAGCCCCATGAGGTAGGTGGTGCTATAATCTCCATTTACACAGGAGAACACTGACGCACAGAGAGCTTGTCCAGTTTCCAAGCTAGTAGGTGGTACAGCGGGAATTTGAACCAGAGAGGACTGACTCCGTGGTTGGGCTCTTAACCACTCAAGAGAGGGGCTGCAAAGGCCATCAGGGGCCAGATCAGGAAGGTCTGTGTTCATCACTGTTAACAGTCTGGACTGTATTCTAGGGAGCACGGGGAGTCACCACAGAGCGGCAAGCAAGAAAACGACATCACTAGGCTTGTCTTTTGACTGCAAGGCTGGGGAGGGATGCTTAACTAAGACCCAAGACAGGGAGACCAGTGAAAAAGCTCAAGGTGGCAGTGGCCTTGTGTGCAGTGATGGGATGGAGGGGAGATGGAGAGCATGGATGGAGCCAAGTGATAGAAAGGGTGGTGCCCAGGCATGTAGCTTGAGGAGACTGGCATTTGGGCACATGATGCTGCCATCCCTGAGAATGGGATTTTCGAAAGAGCAGTTGATTTGGGGAAACAAAAATACTGAGTTCATTTGGACATGTTGCCTCCCTACCTGGCTTCCGGTCTGTGTTCATGTGGCAAGGGCCACCCTTTCTTTCTAGCCCAGAATGTCCTGAAATTCTTCTATATTCTCTTGTCACAAGAATATCTTGTATGTATTAAATTATTTATTGTAAAGTGGTTCCCTGTAGACTTCCTACCCTCTCGCTGATTGTCACTCATTAATTTCCCCCATTTTTTTACTGCTCTATTGAGGGCACTGAACTGCCTTGGGCTGATGGTGCCACCTAATGGTTAGATCTTGCAGAAATCCTCTACTGTTTTGCAAATGGTCTTTTTTTCCAAGAAGCTCTCTTTTTCAATTTACTCCTCTTTTCTCATGTCTTTTAAATATTTGCAAATAATATGTGTATTTGAGCCTAAGCCAGTGATGGCAAACCTTTTGAGCTCGGCGTGTCAGCATTTTGAAAAACCCTAACTTAACTCTGGTGCCGTGTCACATATAGAAATTTTTTGATATTTGCAACCATAGTGAAAAAAAAGATTTATATTTTTGATATTTATTTTATATATTTAATTGCCATTCAATCAAGAAAAATCAACCAAAACAATGAGTTCATGTGTCACCTCTGACACGTGTGTCATAGGTTTGCCATCACTGGCCTAAGCAATACAGCAAAAGCAGGTGATTAAGAATGTCTTTAACCAGGTGCAGTGCTGGTCACCTGGAGTAGGGTGGTGGACGGAGAGAGTCTAGACAACTGGTGGGGACTCCCCTTTGTCAAAGGGATGGCAGTAGCAGATTCCGTCTAAATGGGGGTGTGCATGTGGTGTGTGTGTGTGTGTGTGTGTGTGTGTGTGTGTGTGTGTGAAATGCAAACCATCCAGGCAATGTGGATATCCAAGAGCTTGTCTGATCTCAGAGACCAGTATGAAAGAGGTACCAAAACGTTCTGCACGTCAGTGATTCTTGAGGTCAGGGGCAGACTGATTCATAGGGTCATCATTCCTAAAAGGAGAGGGACCCGGAAGAC